TGTCCGATCTGCAAGGGGTTAGCTGCAAGCCTGAAATGGGAGCTGGTCACCCGCTGGTCACCCGCATGGACATGAGTTTGGTGAAGCCAGTTAGGATGAATGTTTTTCTAGTGAAACATAGAGCCCTCTCATGAATGTAAACACTTTTTTAATGGAGACTTGGACCCAGAGTAGGCATAGGTTCCCTCGCCAGCCCCTTTAAACCAAAAAGGGCACCCTGTTCCTAGGTTACTCTTGGGTCTAGTAGCCCTAAACCCTAGCCCTGACCCCTTTCTATTCCTAGGCTCTCGTTGAGCCCCAAGGTTGCATCCCCAAATAGACAACCCGACACCCTGAACCCTAATCCCTAAAGGTTTCAGGGTTTCAGGATTTGTGGTTTATAGGTTCTAGGGTTCGACGCTGTCTCGAAGATCCCTGTTTTATTGAATGGGGAGGCGGGTTTCCAGCCCTGTTCTAGGGTGAGGTTTAGGGTTGAGGGTTGAGGGTTGATGGTTCAGGGTTTGGGGTTTTAGGGTTTAGGGTCTAGGGTTTAGGGTTCAGGGTTTGGGGTTTAGGGTGAAGTTCAGGGTTTAGGGTTTAGGCTTCAGTAGGGGTTAGGGTTTGAAGCAGGTCGGTGCCTCCTCAGGGCCTACCCTGCTTCGGGAGCCTGCCGAGTGGGCCTCTGGGGCAGAGATTTAGGGCTTCGAGCGCGACCTCCGGGTTTAGGGTTTAGGGTTTAGGGTTTAGGGTTTAGGGTTTAGGGTTTAGGGTTTAGGGTTTATTTTGTTGAGGGAAAGCCTTGTTTGGTAAAGAGTCATGTGACGTGAGTTGGGATGACCCCCTTATACTGACAGTCCTCAATAGGGACTATAGTAGGGGGTATTGTAATCCCTATTAAGGATTGTTAGCGCAAGGGGAAACATCCCAAAACGTGAAACAAATGTCCAGAAGAGGACCCTGATTCAGAGCAACCCCCCAACAATGTGCAGTAGAAAGATTTACCGTGTTAGGGCACAGCTGCAGTTAAATCACATAAGCCCTAAACACTAAACCCCAAGCACTAAAGCCTAAACCCTAATTAAACCCTAATCCCTAATCCCTAAAGCCTAAACGCTAAACCCTAAACCCTAAGCCCTAAACCTTAAACCTTAAACCCTAAACCCTAATCCCTAATCCCGAATCCCTAAACCGTCACCGAACATCACCCTAGGGTTTAGGGCTAAAACCTAAACCCTCTAAACCCTCAAGCCCAAACCCTAACCCTAAACCCTGAGCCATTTCATTTAGTTTCGGGGTCTTGACGCACGGGAGGCCGGGACGGACGGACAAAGATCCTTTGTCCTCCTCACAGACCCCCCCCCCCCCCCCCGAGTTCTCCTTCAGTCAGTAACGAGGGTTTTACCGGCAGTGCGGTGCGATGCATCAGCTAGGCGGGTGGCAAAAAAAACCCTACAAACCCTAAACC